GTTAGCACGGAATGTTCTGCCACATACTGAACAGAGAAATGTGGACACTATTGCTTCAGCATTTGCAGCTCTGGCTTTACGGAGTGCTCGCTTCTCTTGTGCCAAGATTGTCCTTCTGTGTTCATATGTCTGGCAACCCTGGTAAACCAGGGTACGCCATGTCGGTCGATCATGCGCCAAAAATTCCCAAGAGATGGTGCAGAAGGAAGGCAGATTAAAGAAAAGTTGTGTTCAGTTTGGTTTGTGAGCATAGTGGAGAGGAGAAAGAGTGAAAACAGTGCTCTGTGGAAGTGCCCCAACTCCTCATAATTGCATTATACTGAGTTACTAACTTTGATCGAGACTAGTAATTACTAGTAACCAGCCCAATGTGGAGCCCAACTTCCATTTTTCTGAGTTACTATAGTATTGCTTTATTATTGATTATTTTAACTTGCTTCATTTTGCAGTGCCCAACAGCTACCAAGGCAACATTTGGAGTGCACATTAAAATCATAGGAGACTGGACAGGTATGTGAACAGCCCAGCTGAACACTTTCGCTTGTAATGAATATCTTGATACAAAGTCCCAATCATTTGTGTGCCATTGCAGAGTGTAACCCCTGTTTTCCACCTACGCGCACCCTCCCCAGCAATTTTATTGTGGTATGAATTGATTGGAGTATGCTCATAGACACTCTGCTCTTCTAAAACTGGATAGCAGGTCTTGTTAATCATAAATAAGGTGGCTTGATTTGTTTCTGATTGGATGTGTGTACGTGTGTGTGTGTGTAAGAGAGAGTCAGATGCAAGCAACCTGAGGCACTCGTGAATAGCTAAAGTTAATAACTTCATTGTCTGCCACCTTTATTACAAGAATCTCACCAGACTTCCTGCCTTTCCCTGCGAACAATCAGATAAGGCTTTTTGGATTTTGAGGGAGGTCAAGTTTATGTTGCTTGTGACTGTGCAATAACTCCAAGCTAGGTCCTCACTTGACCCCTCCTTCCAACCTTGCTGGCAGTTTCCTAACCCAGAGAGATTTTGTGTAATACCTTTATTTCCTTTGCATCGTATCTGAGAATTGTCACAGGAAATGTGTCCTTGCTAGGTAAGGAGATTTTCGTTCCAGCTGTTTGATTGCCTTTCCAATTACTTAACATTTATATCATATTGTGATTACCACATTACCTTTCATTTCACCATACGCTTCTCCTCCTGGGTGGTGGGAAACATCCCTTCAGCTCACATAGTCCTCTGGAATGTTATGGTCCTCTTTAAATCTTTTGCATCAAGTAGGATGGATAGAAAGGCAATTGATTGAATGAAAATGGCTCAACATTGGGATCACTGTCAGGAGGTTTTTCCTTGATTCCAGGTTGCTTCTATTATTGTTGTTGTTGTTGTTGTTGTTGTTGTTGTTGCTGCTGCTGCTGCTGCTACTACTACTACTACTACTATTTGTCATTTGTCTGATTAACGAAACACTTCAAAGAACTTTCAGGCATTTTTTTAACCTAAAAAGCTTTTATTAGTATTACAGAGTGTCAGCACAACATGGTGGATGCCTAGATCTGAATTTCCATTCCTTTGCTCATAACATTCCAGGCATTTCCCCTCCCCTATTTTGGGGTCATGATTCACATCTTCCAATTAACCTGGAGGGCAAAGATTCACTTCCGTTCCTTTTCCCAGGCTTTCCTTACTAATCTCCTCCCTTTCTCTGTCATCTGAATTAACTCTAAAAATAACAGACAGTTCTGCATATTTTGTCAAAGCAAGAATATTCAATATTAGCAGCGTTGACACTATTACTATTACTACTACTACTACTACTACTACTACTACTACTACTACTACTACTACTACTACTATTATTATTATTATTATTATTATTATTATTATTATTATTATTATTATTATTATTATATCTATAAGTAGGAAAATGTTTGACAACTATATCCTTCTGCCCTTAGTGGCTCTCTTGATTTAATTTTATATTCCCTTGGTGATTCTTCAATAATTCGTGGTACATTAACCTTTTGTCTTTGCCCGTTGTTTCTTTTCTGTAACATGCTTCTTGTGCTGACATTCATAGCCCAGGTTGTGCACTTCTAACTCTAAAAAATACTTTGTTTCTCAGCAACATCCCTTCTTTCATCCAAACCAAATAACAACCTGCAAAATACAATTTGAAGTCCACTAAATCTAATCCCCATCCTCCTTTCTTTGCCTCTTGTAACATCATGTATTTAATTGATGGGTTTTCCCTCTTGCTGTATAAATTTAGATATATCACTTTGCCACTGCCTGAATGATACATCAGTTGTCAAAACAGGTATTGTCTGAAAGAAAAAACATTCATTTTTAACAGAGAAATTCTTCCCAGCAGTGGCAATGTCAAGCAAATCTAACATACATTTATTTGCTTCATCCGCATTATTTAGGATGCATGACCTGGTCTATTATTGTATTGACCGTTCCATTAAAAAATGTCTACTGCTCCCAAAATACTCATTTTCATCTAATTTAAA